AAAGTGTTGGTTGTTCTCGTGAAGATAATCAGAAAACAACAGTTCTGGGAACTGACTACGGAAGGTACATGAGCAGCACAGAAGCTTTGGGAAAGATAAAGGAAGGAGAAAATAAAACTGAGGAAGAAGTATCATCAGTGATGCTCGTGAGCAGCGGCTCAGGCTAAGTGGAGCAGAAGGGAGGCATACACAATGTTGGGTCATAAAATCAAACAGGCGTCACACAGCTTCATGGACAATGGGGAGCCAATAAAAGACTCTTTGTATAAGCAATATATGCTGTTCAGCAAAATCAATGTGTCAGTATCTTGTTAGAAATGCACAAAGAAACCATCCAGAAAATCTTTTGATGAGCAAATGAATAAATGGGTCAGTTATATTAGAATCTCTGCTTGTTACTGTCAAAAGTGTCAAGGTCCTGAAAGTCAAGGAAAATCTGAGCAAAGCTCTACCCTGAAAGAAACTAAGCAAAGAACTAAATGCAATGAGTGATTCTGACCTGGATTCTTTTGCTACTAAAACACATTATTGAGACAATGGGTGATATTTGAATGGGGTTTAAAATTAAATGGCAGCAACGTATCAATGTTAATTTCCTAACTTGGATGCTCGTAATGTAGTTAGGTAGAAAAATGCCCTTTTATGTTAAAAACTACACACTAAAGTACTCAGAGATATGGGGCATTATGTTGGCAACTTAATCCCAAATGTTCATGAAAAAAAATTTTTTGTACTGTACTTGCAACTTATCTGTAAGTTTGAAGTTATTTCAAAAGAAAAATTATTAGAATCTCTAAGGATAGGTCTGGGCATCAGTATTTTAAAAATGGTCTAGGTGATTCCGATATGCAACCAAGGCTGGAATCCACTGCTGAGGTCTCCATCATCATTATTTTAAAAAAAGGTTACAAGTATTTTGTTACAATTACAAGAGAGATTCTGAAACTTTGATATTAAGAATGAGAAAAAGAATCATATTGGATATGCTATGCTAAATAAAAAGCTGAAAACCTCAAAAAAAAAGTTACATACTTTTGCATGGAGTACATGAACCATAATTTATTTCACCAAACCTTCCCTCTTATTCTTCAAAACTGATTTGTGGAGGAGCTTTTATATGCTGGGCAAGACAGATTCTCTTCCCTATGAGTACTCAGTCTTATGGGGATATATATATAAGCAAAAGACAATGGGTTGTAATAATAATAATATAATTGCTATCATTTGTTGAGCAATTACTCTGTGCTAGGCACTATGCTATCTGATAGGGCAGGCACTGCTATTATCTTCATTTTATGGAATGAGGAAACCTAGCTTGGTGAAATGAGTAACTTGCCCCACATGCAGAGCTATGTCAGCTCTTGGCTACACTACTGTATTAGAGGGAAGTAAATTGCTAGGCAAACACACATATGGAAGGAACTCTGATGCAGACAACAGGTAGCAAGAAAGTCTTCTCAGAGGAGGGACCATCAGATACACCTTTGACATGCACGTCATTTCTGACTTTAATTACCCCAAACACTACTTCAATGAACATCTGTGCAGATAACTTTCTATTTTGTAGTCCTGCTGTCACCTGCTCCTTTGGTTAGAGTCTAAGAAGGAGAATTCTGGAACAAATGGAAAAAACCCATGGCTTTCAATACCTGTTGCCACGTAGCTATTACCAGCAATATGAGCGTATCTGTTTAACTGTAGCCTTACCAGCAGTGAACAGTGATATTTTAAAAAAATTCTTTGCCCTTATTAAAAAACTAGTATTTCTTTGATTACTAGTTTAGCTATATATTTTGTCATTAATGCTTTCTTTAAAGCTCAAATTTAAGATCTTTAGAGTTACTACCAATCAGGAGCATTACCAGTGAAATAACATCATAGAATGTCTCATATCATAGATGCTGTCATTTATTCCTACATCCACAAAAATGGCTATGTCACAATTAGGAGCATCCAAATGCTCCTAATAGATTCTATTTTCATGCTAAGATCCTTGAACTCTGAAACTTATTATGAGCTCAATGAGGATAGGGGAAATGTCTCGTGTGATTCTGAAATCCTATCACAATGTCAGCAAGTAATACATACTATAATCATTGCTATAAGAATAAGTACATAAAATAGATGGTGACAAAATATGAACTGGAATACCTTCTAAGATCTGACACAAATAAACTTAGCTCAATAAACATCACATGAGGAAAGGATTAAGGAGAAGTAACCTTTTCCCATTTTCCTGGCTCCCATATAAAGAGAGAGCCTATAATCCCAGTGTGCCAATGATAGTTCTGGTTTATGCCTTTTGTCCTAGCATCTTGTCTGATTGGAGCTGCCTTTCAGAAAGGTCCTGGATTAGACAATACATTTTATGGTCACCCTACATCTACAGGATGTTCCCTTAATGAGTAGCAGCATAAAGTGCTTCCCTGATCAGAAAGCTTGTCTTTATGTCACTCTGAATTTCACTTTGAAGACCTCTGAACAGATAACTATTCTGGCTTCTTAGTGTTTTTATAATACTTTACCATTTAAAGCAATGTAACAATCCACAAACAGTTAATCCCTAACTGGAAGAACATCCCTTGATTATATCAGAAATCTTTATTCTATTTTGCTGATAAAAGCGAGGCATGGAAAGAAAAAGTGACTTATCCAAGGTCACATCAATTTATGAATCACCAGCCACATGAGAGGAGGCTGCTGGAGCTCTGACTTCTGGTTTTTGGTTAATTCTCTAAACCACACAGTCATTAACTTACAATTAAATCTCCTGTGAAGTTAGGTTAGAAAGATTTTAATCATTTAGTAAATGGCTTTGTAAACTACAGGCAGTAATAATCCATTTCAGTTTGTACAAGCAAAATCATGGGCATACCTTGATAATATTTTTTAATGGGCATAAATTTCATAATTAATATTTCAGTTTCACTGAACAATAGTCTGTATTCAAACCTACTCTATAGATCCTAAACTATCAGAAAGTAAATGGAATATTTATAAAACAGGTGAAAATTTTAAACAAACATGTAATACTTTGGGTAATTAAAAAATGAAATTTGTTACAATTTTATATTTCACAAGTATGTGAAAATTTCGTACCACGGTGCATAGTTTAGATAAGGTTACCTTAACATGTAATCGCATGTTTATCACATGAACATCTTGGCTTATAGCAGAAAATTTTAATGGAGTTAATAAAGTAATTCTCTAAAGCAACAAAATAAAAAACTGATGGGAATAAATTTAATATACTATGTCCAAGACCCCTATGAAAAAAGACTCTACTGCTTGCATAAAAGAAGAGCCATACCAAATACACAGACAGAAACTCACAGTTCTAGATATTTCGGTCCCATGGTAATTTATAAAAATATTATAACGTTAGTCAAGGTCCCATTTGCATCCTGTGGGGATGGGGTAAAGAACTTGGTAAGCTCATATAAAGTTTATGTGGAGGAATAAATTTAAGAGAAAACCAAGAAAACTTTTTCAAAGTATAAATAAAGTGCAATAATAAAAATAGTATTTTGCTGGCACAGACCAATGGAATAAAATTGAAAGTTCAGAAACAGACAAAGATGTAGACAAATATTTAATAAATGAGAAGTGACAATGAAAGCATGGGAGGATTTAACGATGTTGTGACAGCTGACTAGTCCACACCTCACACCATATGTCAAATTCCAGGTGGACTGAATATTTCAATGTAAGAAAATGAAAGCAAAATGTGGGGGAGGCCTTTCTATGTATGACTTCAAAAGCAGAAAAAACGACTGATAAATTTGACATAAAACATAAATAATACTCTCTAAAACAAATATGTATTGAGGATATCAATCATTTTTCTGTGTTTAAGCTATAATCATTTTATCATTGTGTATTCATTTCAGTTTAGTTTCTTTTGACATACAAATTTAAAATACAATTTAAAAAACTGTAAAAAGTTAAAAATTTCTATTTTTTCTTTAAAGTTTCTATGCTTTGGGGCTAGAAATGACTTTTTAAAAACCAAACCAGACTGGGACACCTGGGTGGCTCAGTCGGTTAAGTGTCTGACTCTTGATCTCAGCTCAGGTCTTGATCTCAGGGACATGAGTTTAAGCCCCGTGTTGGGCTCCATGCTGCGTGTGGAGCCTACTTAAAAAAAAAAAATCCAAACAAAACTAATTTTCACTAATATTTTCTTATAATTTTTTCATTGTTTCCTGTTTTATGTTAATTACACAGATGAGAGGTCAAAATATGGCTCTGTCCTATATGAGTGGTTTGAGGATGTTATATACCTCTGAGTCTCAATTTATTTTCCTGAAAAAAATGGACATCATAATACCAACCGATTAGAGTTGCTCCAGAGATTAAGGGGGGTGGAGGGATGGGTTAGCCTGGTGATGGGTATTAAAGAGGGCATGTATTGAATGGAGCACTGGGTGTTATATGCAAACAATGAATCATGGAACACTACATCAAAAACTAATGATGTATGGTGATTAACATAATAAAATAAAATTAAAAAAAAATTACTTTATACAAAGCATTTATCTATCACGCTAGAACCCAGCATATAAAGAGTCAGTAAATGGTAACTATTACTTTTAATGTTATCACACTGCATATTGGACTTCTTGATTTCATTGACATATCATTATGACTAGAAACTTATGGTAATGGTATTTTTACCTGTTTTTAAAACAAATTTCACATTATTTAATGCTATAGCTTTTTGTTTTTAAAATTATTTTTAAATGTATGCATTAAAATATTGGCATGTATACACCAATCACAGAAATATGCCAAACACAGAACTATGCCAACCAATTAACTCTTTGAAGACTAGTTATATGCAGCATCCTACAACGTGGTCATTTAAAGTTACACTCTGAAGTCCTCAGATGGCCAAGTAATAGTATAATCCAAGAATATTAAAAGGTTTCTTATGCACCAGAATTGCTGAGATTATGAGTTTGAAATATAAATAGGATGTCAACCTTTCTTTATCTTACCTCTAATAGGCCATCCTCTGGTAGATCAGTACAGTGAACAGCATTCTGGATCTTAGTTTTACCAAAGACTGCTCTGAGGGTTCCAGGGCGTAAATGCCGGGCAATTTCCTATAAATGCACATTCACATATAGTCAGTCATTCAGTGTTAACAAGAAAAACACCAGCTACATGAAACACTTGAATTATCTGTTTATGAAATACATGTATACAGTGACGGCACTGATTTTTTTCTGGAAATAGCACGAATGTATGAAAACTTTGAGCAATGAAACATTTCAGTTCACTCGTAAGGCTTTTTCTGTGGCCTGATGTAAAGTCCAGAGGGCAACAATAATTATATCTTTTTTTTATCAATAGATTATGGAAAAATCACATAAAATAGGAACCCAGTTTATTACTGTGAAAGACTTGTATCCTATAAACTTGATATAAAAATGAACTAGTTTGATGGCCCTGATTTCAAAAGATTTTTCAAAATATTCCATTTGTTTCAGCTTAGTACTAGCTCACATTAGAGGAAACAATGGTTACAGATAACTCAAAACTGTAAAAGAAACAAGAAGTTAAAAAAATTAAAGATGGAGTATTAAGACCTACTTATTAGTCTTTTTTTTTTATTCTAAATGAAACATTTCCAAAACTTCAATTTTAACTTTGACATATACATACTAAAAGGGTACTTAATATATATGAATATTTTTAAAAGAGGAACAAATACCTGTGTACCCACTATTCAGTGGAATTAAAATAATACAATAACTTTGAAGTCCCCTGTGTGAGACTTCATCCTGACTCTATTCTATCCCACCCCTACCTCTACCCAGAGGTACCCGTTACTCTCAATTTTATTTAAAGATTCCTTTGTTTTGTTTAGTTTTCAAAACATTGTTTTTCAGATTTGTCCATGTTGTTGTGTTTAGTAGTAATTCATTTGTTTTTATTACTATACAAATCCCATGTGTGATTGAGCATATTTTATCCATTTTCCTATTGATGGACATTCAACTAATTTCTTCACTCTCCCCCTTTCTCTCTCCTTTCCTTGCTTTCACACACACACACACACACACACACACACACACACACACACACACACACAATTCTGCATGTATACAAGAGTTTCGTCTGGATTAGGGCACATACATATTCAATTTTACTAAGTACTGCCAAACCATTTTCTTAAGCGGTTATAACAATTTGCCCTCAACCATCAGTGCACAAGAATTCCCACCACCCACATCAAAATCCACATTTGATATTAGCTAACTTTTTAATTTTGCTATTCTAGTGGGTGTGAAATGGTGTCTCATTGTGTTCTTAGTTCATATTTCCCTGATTACTAAAGAAGGGTAGTGTCCTTTCATATACATCCACTTTTGTAAAATGTTTATTCTTGTCTTCTTCCATCCATTTCCTACTGGGTTATTCTTTTCTTTTTGATTATTATTTTTATATCCTGAATTCTATTTTTTGTCACTTTGCACAATGTAATATCGTTTCCCAGTCTGAAGCTTATCTTTGGGTTTTCTTTAGTATTTTTTTATGAACAGAAATACTAAATTTTAATGAAATTAAATTTATCAGTCTTCTCATTTATGATTTGTGCTGTTTCTGAAGGAATTATTCTCTACTCCAAGACCATAAGGATATTCTTCTCTATTGTCTTCTAAAATGTTTAAAGTTTTGCCTTCCATGCGAAGTTCTTGATTGACCAACAACTGACTTTTGGTTATAATGTGAGGGGGATATCCATTTCCATTTTTCCCACATGGATATTTAATTGCCCTAGCACCATTTATTGAATAGTTTCCCTCTTTCCCCACCAATCTCTAGTGATTAGCTCTGTTATATATAAGATTTCTGTGTAGGTATGAATCTGTTTATTGGTTTGCTGTTTGGTTCCACTGGATGTTTTGTCTATTCGTACATCTATATTATACTGTCTTAATTATTATAACTTTATAATAAGTCTTCATCTGGTAGGGCAAGTCCTCCAGATTTTGGTGTTTGAATGCATGAAGTTTGAGTTGCCTATTAGATATCCTATTAGATATCCAAATGAAGTTTTCAAATACATGGTTGGGTATGAATCTAGGATCAGAGGAGTCTTCCACACTGCAAATAGCAATTTGGGGGCCCATAGCATTTTTAAGGTATTTAAAGGTATCAGCTGGATGAGATTGTGAAGGCAGTGAGATGAGAGACAGGGGCACCATATCTTAAGAAAACAAAGGAGACAAGGAGAGATGATGAGCAAAGGAGATGGAGAAGGAGCGACCAGCTAGGTAAGAAGAAATCCAGGAGAGTCCTTTCCTAGAAGACAGTGAAGAAAAATGTCAAGGACAGAGAGTCATCAGCAATGCTCAATGTTGCTGAGAAGTCACATAGAGTAAAGACCAAGAACTGAACACTGGATCTAATCAATACGGAGTCATGGATATCCTTGACAAGAGTGGTTTCAGAGGCCCGGTGATGAACAAAACACAGATTGATGTGGTTTCACGAGAGAATGGGAGTAGAAGAACTGTAAAAAGTGAATACAGGCAACTATTTTGAGGAATTTTTCAGCAAAGAGGAGAAGAGAAATGGAGCAGTAAATGGAGGACAGTGTTATTTTTAAAATGAGAGAAATAATGGCACATTTACATGCTGATAGGAATGATCCAGTGAAGGGAAACATTGATGAAGCAGGAAGGAGAACGGAGAATTGCTGGAGTGATGGAGTTAAGTGCAGGAGTAGGGGAGTTGGCCTTATCTAGGAGCACGGAACATTCATCCTCAGCATCAAGACCACACACAGAGCCCACTGCAGGAAGTGGGTATATGCAGTGGTGACAACTTATAGAAGTTCTTTCTTTATTTTTAATTTACTTACATAGGTAACATGTATTGGTTTTAAGTGCCCCATGAATTTTGTCAAATAGACTCAGTAATCACCATCCTAAACAACATATGGAACATTTCTAAAGTTCCCTCCAGAAGTTTTCCTTTGATTGATTCTATTATGCAGTGAAAAGGGCAGCAAGATTGTCATCAGCTGAGGGGAAGGCTGGAGAGGAGGTTTGGGGGATGTCAGGAGAGAAAAGAAGGTATGAACACATTTTAAGAGAGCAGGAAAGTGAATGAACTAGGAAAGTGAAATGTGATTGCTGACAGCACTGAGGGCCCTCCTGTGAGGCCCTTCATTGGTGAGGTTAGTGGTCATGAATGCAAAGGGAGATTATACAGGATAGCTGTGTGTTCTTCTGTAGCCACACTCAGCTGCATGGATGCAGGCAGAGATTTTGGTAGAAAGTTGAATGTAATGAGGGTTGGGACTTTACTAGAAGAAAACCACAAAACAAGAGAGGGGTAAGGGAGTTGAGGGGTATGCAAGAGAGTGATAATAAGGATGGGCAACAAAAATTAAACTGAGTAAGAAAGCAAGAGCCTGGGGGTGGGCAGAGCGGTGAGAGGCACTGAAAAGGTAGATCAATGGATCAGAGCTAGTGGGATGGAATGATTATTAAAACTGGTGTTTGAAGAAATGAGCTGGAAAGTTAAGAGAAAGGATACTTAAAATTGAAATTATTGGAAGTGAGTGGAGAAGGGGGGCGGATTAGCAACACTCTGGGGATTTGCCAGGTGTAATCTGAAACTGGCCATTGTACTCAGAGGGCAGAGAAAAACTGAAGAAAGAGGTTAGTAGTGGCAGTTTTCATAAGCAAAGGGAACTTGGGTGGCAGCAAGGTGAGTGGATTCCTGCAACCACCAGCCACATCCTAAGTTTATACAGAGGCCTTCACTGGGTTCAGTCATGTATACTGTGCAGGTGTTCTCAACACCGCATCATTATGTCAAAGCTGTGTCCTTGGAGCAGCCACTGGGGGGAAAGGCAAGCAGAACCCACGTTCCAAGGACAGGGGAGGGGGTGAGGAGCCTCTGATCGACTAGGTCAACTGGTGGTCATGTCTGTTCAATGACCTTCCCTGACAATGGGGTTACAGTGATTTATAATGATCAGTTTTAAGGTGTAACCATGCCCAAGGTCACATGGAGGACAAGAATACTGAGGAACGGAGGATCACAGACTGAGAGGCAAAGTACTGAGTGGATCAGCTCTACGGATATGGCAATCACCAGTAGTTATGGCGGCTGCATCTTCTGGTGCAAAAATGCTGAGCAGCATTCATACCTGTGATTCCATCCCTTTGGCACATCTTAAAGGTGTGCATTTATTTAATTACTTAAGTTTTCCTTTACAAGGTTGTATCAAATGTGTTATAAATGTATTACTTAAGAAAAACATTTTGATAAACTAGAGAATAAGGATGGCTCTATATTAAATTCATGACTTTCATTCTGTTCCCCCTAATTTTCCTGACAATTAAGCACCTGATATTACACACCTCCTCTATTCACGTGGTGGTAAGCTGGCATTCTGTGAAGTAAGACATACTTTGTAAAATCATGAAGGTGGGTACTTATTTTTTCTTTTCTTATAATTTCAGTTAGGAGGAAAACACTTGAAAAGGATTCCATTTGACTGTACTGTTTCGTAAGAACTTACCCTGTACCTACTTTATTTGGCATTCACCATTTTCATTAAAATATTACTCTCATGTAAGTGACTCTATATGCACCACACTTGAATTCTGAGGAGGGTGTGTGTGTGTGGGTGGTGGTGGTGGTGGTTGGGGGGGGTCATTGTTAATGTCTAATCATATCGTACTGTGGTGAGAGAATGTGGTCTCTTTGGTCGTCCCTTGAAGGAGTTTGTTGGGATTTTCTTTGCATAGTCAATTTTAGTCAGTGTCTCAAGGGTAGCTGAAAAGAATACTGTCACATCTGCGTGCAGGAAGTTGATCGTGAAGTAGCCTCAGGATCTACACTTCTGGGGAAGTGAGGAATACAGGATTGGGCAGAGGGAGAAGTTGAACGGCAATGAGTAACAACAGCAGCCTCAGATAATCCTACAGGGAGCTCTGGAGCTACGATGACCCTTCACAGTCATCCTGAATTGAAGCAAACAGGTGAGGCCTTGATCTCTCCAAACTGACAAGTCACTGGATATGGGCCACTCCAAGGAAGGGGCCATGACCTTGGGCAAGGTGACTTTCTTCAATAG